GATTGGGGGGCGGGGAGCGCTGGGGGAATCCGCTTTCAGGTTTCATTCGCAGCGAGTGTTCGGACAGGGGTCGACCGTTGGGGATGGGTTCACTGGATACACCAACGTCGAAACACTCAACACAAACACACACACACACACACAGACAAAGTGTTTGGAAGCAGGGGGTTGTGTTTAAGCGGGGGAAGTACACACCTCCCATCTTAGGGGGGTTCGGGCGCTCCTCGCTCAGTTGGGTAACATAAAAACGTTGTAAACAAACAGAAATAGATCAGCAACTGTGGACACATTCGCTCCTGAATAACATTCTGGTCCAGTAAATTCATGACTTTGTTGTAGTTTTATCCCTCAGTTTTAAAAGGTGGTTGAATATTTATTTTTTATATGAGACAGAGGACATGCATATCAATTTATTTGAAGTAATGCAAATGTTGTAAGATCTTTTTTTTGTTGGATGTGCGTTCACTTGATATTCAGATGGTGATTTGGTCTCAGAATTAGATGAAACAGATATGCATTATTTTCTTCTCTGGTAATTTCTCTCTCACTTAAGCATATTCATTTTGAGTCTCCCCAAGGCTAAATATGGTCGGGCCTGCGCAAAACTGACAACACGTCACGGGTGCCCGTGTAAAAATGGATTATATTTGTGGAACCAGTTTTAAAGTTGAGTTAAAAATGAAAAACTAATAAGATAAACTGAAAGGGTCTTTAGCAATGAAAGAAACAAGCAAATTAATTTAGAAGATAAAAGGGGTAAATGTTTTCTGTTTTGAGAATGTACACTGTCTGTGAAACACAGTCAAAACCCCAGTGGACAAACTAAAATGGAATGGTGGTCTTGAAAAAAGTGAGGTTTCATGGCTCTTGAGATACACAACATTGACCTGATTGTATGTTATTGAAAACATTCAAATAGCGGAAGTAGGTGAATAAAAAGTGTAACAAAAAAAGGGACGCAGTTTGAACACAACGTGACCTTTTTTTAAAAAGTGTGCACCAACGTTCAAGAACATCTGTGGTTTCCTCTCCTCTTCTTCAGTCTGTAAACTTGCTCTCCGTGTCTCTGCCTTCCTCCAGGACGTGATGGTGGTCGGCGAGCCGACCCTGATGGGCGGCGAGTTCGGGGACGAGGATGAGCGTCTGATCACCCGTCTGGAGAACACGCAGTACGACGCCACCAACGGCCTGGACGACGAGGACGACTTCAACAGCTCCCCGGCTCTGGGCAACAGCGCTCCCTGGAGCAGCAAACCCCCCGGCGCCCAGGACAGCAAGCCCGAGAGCACGGCGCCCCAGCCCTCGCAGTAAAAGAAGAAGAAGAAGAAGAAGAAGAGCAAAACAACAGATCCTTGACTCCATGTGGACTGGACTTTTTAACCTCTCCCTTTCCCCCCTGAGGGCAGTGCTTCTACGCCTCATAAACATTGTACTGAATCAGAATCTGCAAACTCACCACTGGCATGTCCAGCCAAAAATATTCTGGGTATTTTCTTCTTCTCTGGATCACTGCAACATCTCGGAGAACAATGGCATATAAGTTGTATGCAACTGTAATTTAAAAATACCAAGGCGGAGGCTTTTTTTTTTTTTCTTTTCTTCCAGTGGAAAATTGCAGATCAAATTCTCCCTCAGATACAAAGCTCTCGTCTGGTGGAATAATACAGCTGACAGTAGACAGAGGGGAGAAGAGAAGAAGAATGAAAACAACAAACAAAATAGCGAGCTCACCGGTGAGAAGGCAAGGTGTTTTTTTGTCTTTTTTTTAAACAGACCCGATGGAAGAATCTAACCACGTTGGAGACAAATGAAACATTGTTTGAGAAAATTGCATTTTTATTGGAAATTCAGTCGGCTGTTGGTTTGTTTCTGCTGTTGCTGTTTATTTCCATTTCCAATTAAGAGGAAATAAAAGTTGTCTACCGATATGGACTCCTATTCAAACGAGGGAAAATCGTGTACTAGGATTGTTTTTTCCACATTACTGCGGTCGTCACAGATTGTGATTTCATGCAAACCAGTTTGATTGTGTTCGTAGTCTATTGGTATTTTGCTTCTCTCAGAATCTTTTGCAGTCACGTTGTAATTTTGCGCCTATCAGTATGTGAACTTTGCCGACACGCATTGATGCATTATTGTTGATTTTTATTTCAATTTTTTCCCTCCTCGGAAATTGGACTTCTCTCCCTTTAACGACCTACTCCCAAACTGATACTAAAGCCTTTTCCTGCATGATTTTATAGGATTTTTATTTTGTTTGGTATATGTACTTTAAAAAAACACAAAAAAACACACACACACACATCAGTCTGATTTTGCTTTTGGGGTCATCAGTTTGGGAACACTGTTACAAGGTTTGTAGCTCTGTAAATAGAGGTGGAATCTGTTTTGTCCACTGTAAATCAGCCACTGAAACCAGTTTGAATATGGCAGCTGTTTTGTTTTGTACAGGAGGATCAGATTTCTGTCGGGTGGTTTGGATGGACGCTGGTTTGCTTCGGTCGAGACCCAAACTGTTTCCTGACCTCTTGAGCTAGTGCAGAACCAAAGCCACAAAGTTAACACTCACAAAGTCCTATTTCTTGAATATTGTGTGACATAAGAAGAAAACAATTTTACATTTTAAAAGCAACGCACAGATTAAATCCCATCCACCCCACAGAAATAGTTTGACGTCCCTGTATATGTGCTATTCTTTAATCTTTAATTGAATTGATAATATATCCCTGATCTCTTTTGTTGGACTTTTGTTTGAAAACGAGCAAAAAGACAGCAACATGTGTCTTTATACAATTGGATCTTATGGGTATTTATTTGTGCATTTGTAAGGAAGCTAACACATTTCTAAATATGTTTGAGCCTAGTATTATTAGACACCATTTGTACATTATATAGCAGAGGTGTTCAGTGTCATATCTGATGTCTGGTATGTATGCTTTACCATTATGTGTGCCAATAAACCGTGCTTACAAAGGAGTTGAATTTGATTTGGTTACATGCATCGTGTGTGCAGTTGGCATCTGTTTATTGATTCACTTTATTCACTGTTAACTGTGATTAGTCTGATAAATCATTGGAAAGTTCATTCTCCCCAAAGTCCATTCAGTCACACAACTAATGTCATTTTGTCTCGTCCAACATGACCGAAATGTTCGTAGTTTGAACATAAGTGGACATCTCCAGACCTATTGAGGAAGAAAGTGTAGAGCAATCGAGAGCTCCTGAACAGCTGCTACGTGGATGAATGGGATTGATGAGACAGTTCAAAAATGGTGGATTTGACTGATCTTTTTGGAAAAGACAAACATCTAACACTTCAAGAAACCACATATTCTATACTGAAATTGTTGTTTTGTGCTATATTGTTCTTGTTCCTGGTTATAAAAGGATTCAGTGATCCAACCGAAACATCACGCGTTGGCGTTTGTCTCTCAAAAATTAAGGCTTTCCAGAGCAGCCATTTTCTGCTGATATTTAATGATCATCTTCGGTGAAATTAATTGTAAAAGAAACCAATTTTCAAACTTCACTAACTGGTTTCCTTTCCTTTCCATGTGCTCAAAAATTCGCTTTTGATGAAACATCTTCACCACAGGTTCATGCTCCTTCTGCCCTGCTCATTGGAGGTTATTAAAAAGTACTGGAAAATGTAGTCAATCACTAAATATCTAAATAAGTCCTGGAATGTGATGAAGATGTGAAAATGATATCTTGTGGTGAATCTGGGAATAGATTTCTTTCTTTTCTTTAATGTGTAGCAGCCTTCAGTATATAAATACATCACAGTTATGTCCTTAAGTGTCCTGTAGTGGGACACTAACTTTAAACAACAGCATTGGATAACAAAATGCTATTGGCCCAAAATCAATAGGTGGGTTGTATTAGAGTTTCTTCTTGTCTACAAGGATATCGAACAATAAAACATTTAAGATAAAGGTATATTCTGAAAGATCTAACCTGGATTTGATCAATCATCCTTTTATCCATCCCTCATCTGCTAACCTGAGTTATCTGAATAATTCTGCTCAGGAAAACAAATGTATGAACTAGTCTGCAAAGTTCTCCAGATAACTCGGTATAGGATCAGGCCTAGGTACTGTTGTTGGGTAGACTTTAAATCCTGTACAATTTCATGGACCTTTGGCGACACCACGTGGATTATAGGGAGTACTGCAACACCATTTCATCAAACTATAATTCTTGGGTCATTGCTTTCTCACTATCTCTGTGACGTCGTGTTGCTAAGAAGTGCAAGAATAACAAAAATGTGCAAGATTTTTATCTGACAGTTAAATACTAATAATCTGGCAAACAAATCAGTTTCACTGCAAAGCCAGTTTTATTATTTACTTATTTTAAATAACGACATATTTTACATGACTTGGAGTTCGTCAATAATGTTCCTATCATGACTATTACTATTCATATTATTATTATTATTATTATTATTAGCAATGGTAGTATCAGTATTATGTATTACAAAAAACAAGATATTGTTGTACAGAAGATATTAATACTTTTAGTCTGAAGGAGAATTATCTGCCATAAAAGGATTTGCGTATTTAAATGAAGTATCTACAAAATAAATGTCTTTTTCATTTTCAGACTTTGGATTTCTAGATAAATCAATCTAATTAATGTAGATTTCCTTTGTGAATACCATGACTGTTTACCTGTAAATTTGGCTTTATAAAAATTAATTTCAACCAAAAAAGTGAAGTCAACGTTTTGTTGCAGATACAGAAGTAGTACAAATTTTCAAAATAAGATACAATTTTCATCAAAACTGCTTCTAATGAAATTACTACAGTTATTCATAGTTATTATCAGAGCGTTGCTATTAATGTTGATATGTTTCCTTATTAAAAAAACACTAAACTAACTGATTAAAATCTATACATTACAATAATAAACTGTTGAATCTACCTCATGACGTCGTTTGTTTTTTTTACCCACAATGCCGTGACGTTGCACAGCGCGACGCCGCGGCCAAAGTAAAGATGGCGGACGTATCGGGGACCGAGCTGTCAGAGGAGAAAGAGGCTGAAATTGAGCTAAAGAAAAGACAGAAAAGACCGTGGGAGGATTTGCACAAGTCCGCTAAAATCGGTCTGACTCCGGAACTGCCGGAAACGTTGGGATTTTACGACATTAGCGCTGTCAGGAGGGAGCAACGTGAGCAGCCAGCAGGTAAACCAACTGACGTTACAGCTGATAAACATTAGTTTTAGCTCGCTGACTGGTCGCCTTACTACTGCAGTGTCTTCATGCATGTAATATTATAACGACAACAACAGCAGTAATACCTGAAGTTAGTCTGCGTAAAGTTCAGTGGGCAGTAAATGTTATGTAATTTTGATAAGATAACGTTACAACACATCACGGTTTTGCCTCACAGGTGTTACGACAAAATTCCGTCACCCATCAGATCACGTGACCTGATGACTGTCAGCTGTGTGCTGCCTCTGCAAACATGTTGGTTCCAGAAATGCACAGAGGGGAAGAGATTGTATAGATAAATGTAGGGCTGGAGCAGTTATTTGATTATTGGATCAGTTTATAGACTGAACACCTATTTATTTTTTTAAATTTTATAATTTTATATTTGTTCCAGTTCTTTTTTTAAGCAAACACACACTAGTTCCAGCCTTTCCAAAGTGAGATAATCCTCGCACGTGTTACAACTAAATATCTTTTTTGTTTAGGACTGCATGTCTGATTAAACAAGACATTTAAGCCACATATGTTATAACAGGAATGTTTCACTATTTCCTATCATTTTACAGAGAAGTTGCTTAATCAATACATCCAGAAGATGATTGGCAGATACTGAAAATATTCATTAGTTGCAGACCTACTGTTGTGACACCTCACCTGTCCGTTAATGCTCTAGCATTTCACAGGTTCAAGTCAAGTGGAAGTGATTTCAACACAGTACGGTGGGCAGACTGAGACAATAAAACAGCCATTTATGAAACTAGTTTATAACAAGAGAGATCACGTTGTTTTCATTTTAAGAGTCTCTAATACATTAATTCAATGCAGATTAGTTTTAAAGTCACTATCACTGAACTCACTTCCTCTCAGTCATGTTAGCCGTGACTAACCCTATTGTATACTACAGAAAAGTTTATTTAGCATGTTCATCCGTTCTAAAGATGTATTCATGGTGCATTGAATCAAACAGTGAGCTGAGAATGCTGTTAACCCTCCAGAGAAGTTTCCTTCTCTTTCATGGTGTGACGGTGGGAGCGTCGGCGCTCTCATTGTTGTGGATGTGATTGTTGCACACAATGGCCTCGTGGTAACACTGGCACTCTGATGTTGTTCCAGATCCGTCGTTGACTCGCTTCATTAGCGCAGAGCTCACCAGAGGCTACTTCCTGGAACACAATGAGGCAAAGTACACCGAGCGCAGAGAGAGAGTGTACACATGCATGCGTATTCCCAAGGAGCTGGAGAAGGTACTTCACAATACAAGTATATTTATGATGAAATATCTGAACTCATCTGCCCTCTTTCTCTTCATTTATCTCCATCTGTCGGCTGCCTTTTCATTCCGTTTACAGCTCACAGTCGGCCCAAAACGGAGTCCCACCGAGTCGGTCCTAAACCTCACAACCCACTGTTTTTATTAGCAGCTGGTCAGATTTAAGTTTGAGATTTTAAATCTTTACTTTAGACTCTGTTAAACGACATAATGGTCGTTTTTTTGACATGTAGAGTCTCATCAGTGGTGAAAATTAGCTTTAGTTTAACATTAGTTTCAATCTCAAGAACACACACAAACACCTTTTTATTTGTTTTATGATTTTGTACAAATGATTGATTTATGTAAAACAATAAGAGATAAAAACAACATTTTATTTGCTCTTCTCATGAGCCACCAGGTAGCAGTATTGAAACATAAAGGTTTTATTAATCTAAACTGTGTGGTTCCTCTCTCTAATGTGTGATAAACTTTATGATGATAAACGATAATTTATCACAAGTTAACAGAAGACTGACCCAAGTCATTAATTACAGTTATGCTTTAAAACCACACATTTTACAATCTATGTCTTTGTTCGGTTGTTTCTGGAGTTGAGTAGAACTTCTCTCTGCAGACTAACTGCGCTCTCACTGGTGTCGTTTTCCCTTTTGGGGGCGAGTGAGGAATGTGTGTAAACACTAAGGAGCTCTGAGACTTCACTATGCTGAGCAGGCTAACCGGACAAGTCACAGAATCCACCAATGAGTCAAAACTCTCCCACATGCTTCTACCAAAACCTACATCAGTTAGAAGAGGGAGTAAGAAGACGACACCTGGTTTAAATGGACTTCGTTTTAAAATGACAAGGCCATGACTGTTTGTATGTGGGGAGCTGTGAAGGTATGTGTCTGCTGTATCATTGCTTTAGTCTAATCTGATTTAATTTCACTGTCACATGTGGTTATTCGTATTTGTCACCTGGCCCTTCCTCTGATGAGATGTGACGTCCTCAAACAATAAGAGAAGTCATCATTTTTGGATGTGAAGAAGCTCTTCTCTATATAATGCTCTTGTATTTTCTCCGTTGTCTTGTTTTATTTAGTTGTTGTCTTCCTTTGACACGGAGAAACACTTAACGATGATGAGTAAACGTGTCTGCAGGCTGCACGGTATCTTTGTCCTTGTTTGACTTGGAGGTTGTGCAGACTGCGTGTCATCCGTGGTTTGACTTGGAGTTGTTTCTGTGTGACTTCTTCTCCAGCTGATGACCTTTGGCTTCTTCCTGTGTGCGGACGCCTTCCTGTACGTCTTCACGCTGCTGCCCCTCAGGGTGCTGCTGGCCGTGCTCCGCCTCCTCACGCTGCCATGCTGTGGCTTCAGGTGAGAGCCGTCATCATTACCAAAGAAAAACAAGTACTTGCATGCATACCAAAGGAAACGCACAACATAAACCTGCATACAATGTAAGATACAGTCACACAGAGGTATAGACACCTCAGGTATACGTCTGGACACGGTAGCATTCAGAGGTGTGGGCTTCACAATTACGGCTAAACTGATAGCTTCTGATTATCGTGGGTTTTTTTGGAACAAAATAATTTATTTTGTTGGTTTTTTTTGGGCTCTGCGTTGCCAGCTCCACGCCCATCAGCCAGCGTGGAGCTCTGGGTTCTGGCTCTGCACACACTGCGATGTCACAAAGCTGGTTGAAAATCTTTAAAAATCGTTAAAGTTTCCCTTTAACTGATGAATCTCACCTTGTTCGCTCAACTCTGACCTGTAAACGGTTATTACTAATGCCATATCAGTTTGAGAGAGGAAGTCGAAGTATCAGTTGTTTGACAAAAGACATTAATCATTCATGATGATTAATCGTGCAGTCCTACTATACATATAAATGGAGCTGAACCATAGATACATATATACATTGAAAGAAAAATAGACATATTAAAGGTATGTTAGCATGATTTGTCTTGAAGTAACGAAACATTTACAATCTTCCTTTATGTTTCTTGATTTTAAATCTTGCAAAAAAAAAGGCAGAGTAAGAAACGTTTGTTGTTTAACCATCGATTGCTACTTTTAACAGCAAACGTCCACATTCTGTGCGGTTGTAAAATATGCTAAAATGTGAAAAGAAAGCATAATACTGCTGATCCACTGCAGTTATATGTCACCAGTTCATGCCTTTTTGTTTGTGTATTTCCCTATAAACAGGCAGCACATACTGTAGTTTTGAACATGGCCTTAAAGACATTGTGGCAAAGATGTTTCTGTTACTCACGTATTGTACATCAGCTGTCTAGATTTGTCTAGTTCCGGGTCTCTTACATGGATCATGTGTCTCTCTGTCGACATGGACGCATTCTGAGGACTGTAGACTTTACTCTACAGGTCTGGAAATATATCTTCAGAAGTTTGTGGTTTGTACAAAAGATCTGGAAAATGATTAGATATGTTTTTATTAACAGATGTTTTACATTGAACACACAACATGTTATTACAACGTATGTTGTATTGACATTGAAAAGCAGCAATGATGTAATGTAACTAAGTACTGTCCTTAAGTACAATTCTGAGGTTATGCGTAATAGTTGTTTTTGGAAGCAATAATATATATGGCTCTGAAATAAGCCATTCTGCATAATTACTTCTGGTACTTTAAGTATATTTTGTGTGTGGAAATCTTTGCACTTTTACTTGAATGCAAATGTAACAGAATATATTTAAACTGTAGTATTGCTACTTTTACTTCAGTAAAAGATCTGAATACTGTGCAGTAAACATACTCGGACCCCCCCCCCCGATGGACACTACCTGTCTACCGCTCGTCTCACCCTCTGTCTGAATCTCCCCTCCCCTTCCTCCCCCGCTGCAGGGCACGCACATGCCCCTACTGCAGAAGAAGCAGGTACGCTCCCTAAAGCCTGTCAGGGCTCCATAAATGTCATCACTGTCCTGAGCTCCACGTCCATTCACCCGTCTCTCTTCATCTCCATTGTGTGTCTGTCGATGTACAGCTTGGCACCTCGCACCATGTTTTCTCCGAGCCGGAGCAGCCATGTTGGTTCCACATAAGTCCAAGTTGTTGTTTTTTGAAGTCATTCGGGGGAAGGTTTGCTGAGCGTGCATGTTTATTCTCATCACAGTGTTGCTTGTCAGTGATACAGCAGCTGCACATGCTTAAACTGGAGGGCTGCTTACTGTACAGCTCCTCTGGAGCAGCTCTGGGCTCCTTTGTCTTTAAGTCGGTTGTTGTTAAAGAAGAGGAAAACATATCCGACTCTCCTGCATAGACCCCCCCCCCCCCCTCCCCACCCCCGCTCTGCAGGTAGCAGGTTCGCCTTCTCTTCTTCTTCTGGGGCAGAGTCTTAATGCTTTTTAGTCTAATACGGTATGAATGGCACACAGTGGTGGCTACTTGGAATGCAGCACATAGCTGACTGCACTGGAGCATACATACTATTCATGTGTTTTTTATGGAGACGATGCTTGCAGAATAGAGATAGTGAACGCTGCTTTGTAGGCTCCACTAGCAGCAGCTTAGGCTCCAGGGAGCCGTGTGTGAGTCGAGATGCATCATCAGCACCGTAACCAGCTGCTGTTTACCAGCACGTGTGTGTAAGAGAGGTGTAATGTTGTTAATGCGTTATTCAGTAGATGGTTGACAGAACGTTAACCAGCAACACTTGTGATGAATGATTAATCGTTTAAGTGGTTAACTAGTTCCTACTTTTGCATTTTCTGTTTTACGTGATTGTACATTCAATATCTTTTTGTCTTCGGACAACATAAGAAATGTGAAGACATCTACTTAGGCTCTTGGAATTTGGGCATGTTTTAGTCATTTATTTTTATTTAAAAGAATAGATTAACTGAGTATTAGTTGAGCAGCGATCCTGTTTTATCATATATTCTATCTATGTCGCAATACTTCTATCTCTTACGTCACTCTTCTGCTACAGCACACTTTGACTTAGTACTACATTTATTGTAAACTATTGTACATTGAGCACTGGACAACAAAAACTTAATACCAAGAGGGGAAAATCTAACGCAATGTGTCGGATCCCTCGAGCTTTTCTTGTTGTTTTGGAGCCTTTTTTACATGATGGGGCCACTGGATGGAGCTGTAGCTTCAGGAAAACCACGAGAAATGTTAAATATCATGGAGACGCCTTCCTGATATCAGTTTGAACAGTTTAATCTGAATCTTATCCTTTTGTTATATGTAAAGATAGTAGAGAAATCAAGTGTTAAAGGCTTTTATGTAAGTTCACCTCATCAGTGTAGTGATTTCAGTGTATCTATTCATTGGTCATGAAGGCAATAAATGTCTTTTATGCTTTGTACAAAGAGGCCCAGATGTTCATCTCATCCCGTTGTCTTCACAGCTGCACACAGTTCAGAAGACACTTGATTTAAGCTCATCTGCACTTCATCTTCCCCAAAACCTCCGGCCATCCTCTCATCTCGCTCAGCTCGGACTCGGCTCCTAAAATAGCTCCACGGCCTGCGGGCCCCTTCGCTTCTATCCCAGTCAGACATGATGTTATTTTCCTCTCTCGTGTGTTAAAGAAGTGTAACGCGGTGAGGAGGAGTAGCCCCGTTGTTGTGATGCAAGACTAATCAACAGCCACTGAAGTTAATTAAGGTAATGATGGCTGTTCGAGTAGCTCACCGTTGTCCTGTGCTCTAGTGATTTAGTGTGTATTAGTATAAGTGTATTAGTCTGTGTGATTTAATGGAGAGTTGTTTTCTGTAGGACAGGGTTCAACTTGTGCAATATTAAGAGAGGTGGTTGTAGTCTTTGTGGTAAAACAAACAGCCAATAACCACAATGTTTGTAGATCTTAAAGTTGGTGAGTGGATGAAACCCCTTCCTCTGGCTCTAGTTGGTGGCTGTGGACGTATAGTCCAAGTCACACAGCTGACGTGTGAAATGTGCAGGCTGTCTTAGAGCTAAGCTCCCTCTCTGGCTCTTGGTGGTTATCCCTGTCATAGTAAATACTAAATGACCAGTCCTATGGATTTGTCAGCTCTGCTCTTAACAAGCTGCCACTGCCAACCACTGCTACTAATTATGAAAGCTGCACATGTTTTAAACGCGTTATTACCCGTTATAAGACATGCTTTGCTGTTCTTGCAGTATGTGACGGCTTAGCCTGTGTGTTTCCTTTCATTTATTTTGTCCACCCAACACTTCTTTGAACATTTCTGTCCAAGATGTAGAGTGTGCACCATGTAGGTATATATATATATATATATATATATACATACATACATACATACATACATACATACATACACACTGTGTATACGGCCTGCGGCTCTTTGCTGCTCGTCATCTCCTCTCTCTGCCCCTTTACTGACATTCTCCAGCTGTTCTTATAAAGGCAATAAAGCCCAAAAAAAAAACACAATTTTGGGAACAAAATTGAAATATTTCCATAAAGATAGATGCTCAAACGCATATGAATTTGTGTCTGTTTGGTAGATAAGAACAACAAAGAATGAATCCTTATAAAACCAGCAGCGCAGAACTCAAACACATTAAGGAGATAAATGTTATTAATGAGATACCGTTTCATATACAGCAGATACTAACTTTAATATTATATATTGTGTCTTGTTTTGTGTGTTATCAGTAGTTGTAGCCTTTCCCTTTATGCGGGGTATCTCATTTTGAACAGAAATGAATTATTTACCCCTCTATGTTTTTTATTTATCATCTGTGTTCTTGCATGATATGAACAGCAGAGATCGTTCAAAGCCTCCGTAGACGGCAGTAGTCGGTAGTGTTGCAGTCACGGTCGTACTTTTCACTCGGTGTTTGTCACCACACGAGCATTACATCTGCGTACAAGCACATTCTATTGTTCACTCAGGTAATATAATGACCCAATGAATACACTACTTATATGGATATACTGCACTATCAGCATGCAGGTGTGTGTGTGTGTGTTCAAGTACCTGAATATGTTCTGAAAGGTTTGTATATTAAATACAGATACCATAAGTTGGTGTGTGTGTGTGTGTGTGTGTGTGTGTGTGTGTGTGTGTGTGTGTGTGTGTGTTTTGTGTGTGTGGTCAGCGGGTCTCGGCTGCTGCAGCCGGCGCAGGTGTGTGACGTGCTGAAGGGCCTGATCATGGTGCTGTGCTTCTCCATGATGCATTATGTCGATTACTCCATGATGTACCACCTGATCAGAGGACAGTCTGTCATCAAGCTCTACATCATCTACAACATGTTGGAGGTACTTCACTGTTCATACGCTCGCTTCAGACATCTGGTGGTAAAATAACTGCATGTGTATTTAAACTTCTAGTGCGTTTTTTTTCTCAGTTTTTTCTTATGATTCTATGTATGTTAAGTTTTGTGCATGTGATGTACATACTTCTGGCCACTGGGACACTTGTTAAAACCTAAATGGACCAAAAACTACTTGCATAGAGTGAATCTCTGTGAGAATCACACAGAGTTAGTAGAATATTCTCGACGTAGCAAAAGGTAAACGTATAAAACATGTCAGACTGCACATTTAATGTCATTGGAACCCTCTTTTTTTTTTAGACATAATGTGATATTTGTTGTTATGAACTGTGATAAAGCTCAGCTTGATGTGACCTATGATAGACAGCCAACAGATTATTGTAGAGGAAAGGGTTGGATATTATCTCAAAAGGGAACAAAACAAAAACCGAATAATACCAAGATGCCCTCATGTGGATGAGAGGAAATGAACCAGCCTTCTGGTTGAAATACATGCCGTTATTAATAAGTTTTGATCTTATCCGTCTTTCCTCTTTCAGGTGGCTGACCGCCTCTTCTCCTCCTTCGGTCAAGACATCCTGGACGCTCTCTACTGGACGGCCACTGAACCCAAAAATCGGAAAAGAGACAGTATAGGAGTCATTCCTCACTTCTTAATGGCCGTCTTCTACGTCTGTATCCTTCTTGTTAACATCTACAGGAATTATGAGAGAGGAGTGAAAAATAGAGCCTGAATTAAAAATATAAGAATTATCATGTAAGAAAGAACAGACGTACACAATTTTGCTATTTTTATTTAGTTATTTATCCTTTATTTATGCAGCGGGGGCCTTATACTTTATAATTTATTTTATTATTTAGATGTCCTATCTGTGATGCAATATAAATATTCATTTCTTAACATATTGTAGCTACAGGTAAAGAGATCCCTTTATGTCTTGGTGTTATTGGAAGGTGGTCTGTCTGACTGTTAAGATTTATACTTTAATTATGTTTTAATTAAAACATTTACTGGTTTTTGGTGTTTTCCTGACTGGCTTTTCCTCAGTCCTCCATGCCATCCTCATCATGGTCCAAGCCTCCACCCTCAACGTCGCCTTCAACTCACACAACAAGTCCCTGCTCACCATCATGATGTCCAACAACGTCAGTGCTCTCACACACACTCACACACACACACACACACACACACACTTACAGATACGACATTATAGCTCACAACAATCTGCCTGATGAGATTGTTTAAGCAGCTGCAACCTTACACAAACTAAATATATGCAAACATTCCACATTTAACTTAAATAATTTGTATGCAGATGTATCCCCACGTGTCTTGTGGTGATGAAACATTAATGTTACATGTTTGTTTTTTATGGATCATAACTGCTGCTGACTGCGTTTCTTTCTTTGTTCTTCTGTTGTCTCGATCACAGTTTGTGGAGATTAAAGGAAGTGTGTTCAAGAAATTTGAGAAGAACAACTTATTTCAAATGTCGAACAGTGGTAAGATATTCAATGTCCTATCAGAAATCACACATTTTAATTATTGAAAAGAGCAAGAGAACCAAAACAAATCTTGTGCTTTATTTAAAAACATCTGTAGGTTTTCTTTTTTTTTTTTTTTTGGTTTTTTTTGGTTTGTTTTTTTTATACAGAGTAGTAAAATCAATGTGTTTCACTTCTTATGTGATGTTGTCAGTCCGCATATAATTTACCCTTATTAGGTCAATGTGACAGATGGGAATATAATATGTTTTTGAAAAATGTAAAATAATGAATTATCTGCAAATTTCTCACCGTGGGCCACATTGGACCTTTTGGCGGGCCGGTTCTGGCTCTCGGGACATATGTTTGACACCCCTGATGTAGATGAAGCATACGCTTATCGTCAGTTTCTTTTGGACATATGACTGACATGTATTTAACATGACTGATTGATTTTTAGTATCAAAATGAAACCTAAGTCAAACGGTTAATTTTCCTTATTTACAAGCCTTTTATGAATCTATCCATTTGGGTTTAATGGTACAACACAGAGATATTCAATGTATTCTGCATTTCCCTTTTTATTCTCAAAGGCAGCGTGTGTGTTTTTTTATTATCTCAGTCACTCTTATTGTATTCTAATGACAGCAGAAGACAATAGGCCTTAATCAGCTGCCATTTCCCTCTTGCTGTTTACTCACATGGAGTAATTTCCTGTTTAAGCAGCTGAGCGTGGTCCTAACTAGCATAGATGATGGCATGCTAAACGTCTACATCTGTGTCTTTAAATGATAGTAGATTGGTGTTTAAAGCAATACTGTGATAAGACTGAAGGCCGTGTGACTGATGTGCTGCTGTAATGTAGCTAACAGGGACTTATCTCACACTTTTTTTTACAGTAAAGTCTAATTTAAAACCCTCTTTCACGAGGATACAAAATGTGGCTGAATGCAACGTCACTGAAGTTGTGATGCCTCTGAACCAAGTTGTTCCAGAGTTTAGCGATTGTAATCACAGATGTGTTCATTTTATCCTGCAGATATCAAGGAACGGTTCACCAGCTACGTTCTCCTGCTCATCGTTTGTCTCAGGAACATGGAGCAGTTCTCATGGAACCCAGGTAATCAACCTGCACCTTAATAGTTTCATGTTATACTATAGTCCATTTAACAGTGGCAGGTTTGATAGTTATGACATCTGCGGTCAGTGCATGTCATGGTAACAAATTCAGAGAAATATGCTGAGCAGCTTCTTTCCTGCTGCTTTGGTTTTGTTCTGCACTGCAACACCTTGGGGATGTTTCTCTCTCCAAACAAACTGACTGAGCGAGAGAGCCGAGTGAAGGATGAGAGCGCGGTGTTTCTGTGTGACAGCCGTCTGAAAACACTCCACTCCGCTCCTTCTGTCACTCACAGAGCCAGAACACACAGTGGATGACAGACGTGGCCTGTCAGCTGGAATCAAAACACACTGATGTGTTAATACTGGCAGAGCTACAGCCTTCTGTTGCTAAAGAGGCGAACAAATCACAAGCCGCCAGTAATTTACTTATCTTCCACGGAGCATTGGTGGTGCCAGCACTGCTTTGTTGACGTTACACAGAACCAAAGCACCTGCTCTCAGCTCATTACCTGCTAAAGAAATGAGAGCCAAATCCGTATTTAAGAAATAGTTTGGCAACTTGTAGTTAAACATTATATATATATATATATATATAATCACGTCTGTTTGCGTTTGTGCTGCCATCAGCCACTGGGTCCTACATTGTGCAGACTGCCTCGGGATTAATAAATATATGTTCATGGTATTTGCATGTGTGTCTCAATATTAAACCTTATGTTAGAATATGTCAGGAGTTTACCGTGAACACAACTAACCACAGCTGTTAAGTGTCCAACAAAGTAAACTGGTTGTGGTGAGAATGTCGACGACATCCAGCGAAGGTTTGCTGAGCATGTTCACTCTCTCATAAATTAGATTAAATATTGTTTTACATATAACACTTAGAGTTTCTTGTGACCTGTTTCTTTCCTCAGACCACCTGTGGGTGTTGTTCCCTGATGTCTTCATGGTCGTCACCTCCGAAGTTGCTGTCGACATCATTAAACATGCGTTCATCACCAAATTCAACGACATCACTGCAGATGTAAGGACTGCGCGTGTGATGTTCATTATTTCTAAAATTCACCAACAAACTACTGGTCACACACGATACTTGTACAACACAGTACTGTATGTGGTCTGTTCCCTGATTAAGACTTACACACTCCATGTTTGGGCTTGTCTCTCTCTCCCAGGTGTACAGTGAGTACAGAGCCAGTTTGGCTTTTGATCTCGTCAGCAGTCGACAGAAGAACGTAAGCAACTGTCTCATTACACTTACATAAACAGCACTGAGCCTACGCAGCTAATCGATGCAGTTTTGTCGAGTGCTGTAACGTGTGCTTGTCCGTCACTGTGTAGGCTTGTACAGACTACAGTGACTCAGTGGCCCGGAGGATGGGCTTCATCCCTCTGCCTTTGGCGGTTCTGGTAAGAAAGGCTGCTCTCTGTTGTTATTCAGACATTAAATACCAGAAGAGAGTGAGTCATCGGCACATAAACAGTATCCAGAACTTCCTGCAAACTTGTACTAGCTGCCATTTTATTTTGTAAAGTCCATTTATGTCATTTGTTGACAGCTTATCCGTGTGGTGATGAGTTCGGTGAAGGTGCAGGGAGCCCTGTCATACACGTGTGTGTTCCTCTGTTATCTTGGGTAAGTCTGTTGAAGTTTTACTGTCAAATTAAATAATACTGTTATTACACAATGTCACTGTGGATCCTCCTGCCCAGCAGCCAAAACTGAGGGAGCTTTTAAGCCTTACATTACTGTCGTTGTTATACTGAACTTGGCCTTTTCATTTTCCATATGCTGCATGTATTTTAATCTGACTGTAAACATGTAGCTCAAAAGGAGATTTAAAGGCTGAAAATGGTTTTGGTTATTCGTGCACGTCCCTTCAGGCTTAAACCATTCAGATTTAGGTCAAAGTCAAAATTTCCATTTTTTTTAATCTCGACACTGGAATCATGTCGTCGTATATCGGTGGATATTTAAATGTTTTGTTTGACTGTAGTGTTTTAAATGTGCAAACAGACTGCCATGTGCTGTCATGCTTGCAGAGTCACAGGAACACAAGCAGGCGCTGCAATAAACACACACTGAGAATCAGAGACACACACCGTTACATAAGTATTAACACTGTGGCCTCATGTTGTCCCTGTGCTGAGCTGCCGATTGCCCCGCTCGCTCTCATTTGCCGGATCCCGTTGGGCTCGTACCGTCGAAGAGTTTCCCTCAGGGCGAAGAATACAACGTTGTCATCTCGAGTGCTGTCTCTGGCCTTCCCCACCCCCCGATTTAAAAATAACTCTGGCTGGAACAGACCGCTGTGCCTTGGCAAAGACTCAGCCGCGCTGACGCGCTCTCAGTCCGAAAACACCCCGTCACAGGGAGCGGTGGTCCACAGACCCAAATGTGTCCATCTCTCTTATGTCACAGTGTCAGAGGTTGGGCCTCGTAGCAAAGCACAGGAACGAAGGAGGATGGTTCACATCAACATCCTGGTGTCAGTGGCGATCCAAGAGATTGATTTTAACTGACGCTCAAGACTGCACTGTAATATCTCGGCTTCAGACCAGCACTTAATAACAGCAGGAAAGATGGAATAGGCTGTTAAGTTATGACTACAAGGATCATCATGTTTATATTATGAAATATAGCAAAATCTACAGTTCATCTTGGTGCTGAATCCATCAACCAAACTGGCAAAAAAAGCTCAAATTGCTAAAATAATATTTTAATACATTAGATGTCAGAAGCAATAGAAGACAACGCAAAAGTCAAATGTTATCAGTCATTGTTTTACATCAGATTTGGAAATGCTTTGTCAAAATGTTATTGTTATTTTTAGTCATCGAACAGAGTGAGTTTCAGCTGTAGAAGACTGCAGACATGCATCTCTCTAATCAGCAGTCTTCTCCATCTTTAGGCTGGTGACACTTAAAGTGTTGAACAGCATTGTGCTGCTGGGGAAGTCGTGTGTTTACGTCAAGAGGGCCAACATGGAGGACAAACTGTTTGAGAGGCCCCCCACCGCGCCATCATCCGCTGGGAAAACCCCCAGCAGAGCTGACCAGACCAGATGTCCCACACCTTCAGGTAAACACGGACCACTTCAACGGATATCTTGTAAACAGCAACCCATACCTTCACATTAAATAATAATGAAAGGGGAAATATAGAATTCATATATATCTTATTTCCATGGCCAAGGAAAGTTAAATCAATATTTGTGAACATGAGCTTCTCTCGCTCTCGAAGCCAGAAACCAGAGAAGTAAATCTCAACCTGACATATTTATACTGACATATAGTGACATAGTGTCCTGGTGGAGACCAAACAGAGAGCTAAAAGAGAGAGAACACAAACGCATGGTAATGGAGCTCCGTACGGCCGGATGTGAGATGTCAATGTTGTGTTCTCAACCTGTTTGCTCTGCTGCAAATGGCCAAAAAATAAGTTATTGCAGGTTTACATTAACATGGCAATGTGTTGTATGTCAACATGTTTATGATTGGAGGTTTATTGGAAAAGAAGAACACAGATTGACCCAGTAAAAGAGTGTGTTCCCAATCCCCTTACATACATCTTGATAATTATACCGTGTGGAACTATCAGGTTTCCTACAGTCGAAGAAAACCACAATAAGTTCTGAAATATGTACGTTTCAGTATATAAATATATAATACTTTCTTCCTTGTTCTCATCAGTATTCTAATGGAAATCCAGGAACGCTGCTTTTTACAAGATAATAAACAAAATAATTACAAACAATAACATAATAAATGAATTCCTTTCCATGTCGAGCTGTTAGACCTCGAGCCGACTATTTTGAATACATAAATGTTTTAGCCAATATCCAAAAATAAATTCTGGCACATTAGACATTGAGATTTTATTGTGCACTCATATCTTCAGCATGAGGAGTCCAGAGAGCCTTTAGGAGCCCTCAGTGGAGGTCATGATGCAGCGTGAGCATGACACTTTGATTTTGGATCTAAGTACAAAAGAAATGCAGCGTAGAGATGCTGAAAAAAAGTGTTTCAGCTTTTGCAGCTGCTGTACAGGCAATGACGGAACATATATCGAGTGTAATTATTTTTGAAATACACAAAAGCTTCTGGTCACAGAACATCGAAAAGACCTGAGAGAGCATCCTGGTGCATCTCAGGAATAGATATCGTGTAAATGAGGCGTCCTGGGATTTCATATTCCTCATGAATAATGTGGATGCTGCTCTTTGCCTCCCACTCCATTGCTGATCTTTCCCGTCTCTCCACACTTTGACATACTGTGTCTGATAAAACATTGTCTTCTTCTTAAGAAACAAATACACAGAGAAAACATAGTAATTTACATACTATCTGAATGTTTCTAAATCTGGTGTTTGTCCGCTGCATGCAGCACGTTACCAAACTGGCCTTGCCTTCGAGAGGAATCGTGATTATATTAACATTTTTAGGCATTTAGCTGACTTTTTGATTTACATGTTTAGGCATTTAGCTGACACTTGTATCCAGACAGATTTGTCAGCAGGTAGGAGCTCAGTGTCCAGCTTCAGGCAGCCAATAGAAACACTTAGTTTGCGGTGATGCCGAAATAAAACTTGTGACCTTTTAGTGGTGGATGAGTCTACCTGCCCATCAGGCTATAACTTGTTATAGAAATAGAGTTTAAATCAAAAACACCGAGAGGTTTAAATATAAATCAGCTATGTGACATTAGATTATGGGGATGGAGCAGGTATGGCATTAGACATTTTGGAGTTTCAACCTCCGATTACAGCGCTTCCATCAGGCCAATGAGTTTACTTTGTCTGGACTCCAAAATGTATCGTACCACCACAATTGTACCAGCAGTACTGGAGGTTGTTATTTTGATACAGTTTGATGTTAATCATAAGATAAGTCACTTCTTTGTAAGGATAGTTGTATAGCAAGTGTTTGATCCCTTCTGTGATAGAAGATCCAGATCAATTAACAGCAAGTTAATCTGCGTTGACGATCAAATATCTCATTATATCATTTTCTTGCACAAATGCAAAACGTTACCTAGTTCCAGGTTCTCAGTTGTGAGGATTTGCAGCTCTTCTGTCTCGCTGCATGTGTTTGTGAACTGAATATAAATGGGTTCAGGACTGTTTGCTGAGACATATGAAGGCTTTAAGACATTGCCATGGCATTTCTATTAAAGTTCATTTTCATCAATAATGAAAGTCATTGTTCGTTGTAGACTTTAGACACACGGTGATGTGCTGGAAGTCATTCTATATGACAGACATCAACAAGTAAACAAAAACCTCATTCCAACATTCAAATATGTACTTATGAATCCCCTCATTAACATTTATGTACATATCTTGACAAACTGTTAAACAGGCCTTGTACCTCACACAGATTTGAAGGTGGCGGTATCTCCCTGTCATCCGCAGCCAAATCCCCGCAGATCTTTTCTCCCGTGTGCCTGCGGCTCTGAGCCGGGAGCTTTAAAATGACAAAGATCCCGACGGTGCATCGTGTCACATGAGGCATCAAAGCTGCTAGCAGCGCCTGTGTCTCCAATCAATGTGGTTCCTCACAAAGCAGCTGCAGCTACCAGGCTTAAGGCGGCGACGCTCCGACATATAGAGTGAGCGTATTAATGCGAGTCTCCTTCTGCTTCCCACACATTTAGCTGCTGGGATTTGAACCAGCTACCTCACAGCACATACTCACTTTACTAACATCAAGCTAGCTCGGTCTGTGCCTCCAGCTTCACCTGCTGCCCCAGTGGATTCACTGCACAATTCTGTTCATCTCCATGTCTTTGTCTTAGCACTGATCTGGATTCACATAACATTAGATATGCCATCTGTCTATACTGCATGTTTTAGTCCGGAGGGCAGAAATGGGTAATGAGCGGTTTCACATCAGCCATCTCAAACCCCATATGGTAGTTAGCTGTTATTAAAGCTCACAGATCTTCCAGAGAGGAAGAGAACGGCTCTTTCCAGCAGTGCGTGATTCTTCTAAACCTTTTGTAATGTGCACCCTGAAGGACTCAAAGAGTTTATTGAATCATGTAAATGATACAACCCAGACACAAACGTGTGTAATTAAGAAAAAAAACAGCTTAGCGGCCTTTATGCCCAAGTCAAATTTCCGTAGGTACGAATAAAGTTATCTCGACTCTTAAACTAAATAACAAACAATAAAAAAAGAACTTCTGCTGACAAACCTGCATTAATTGATTTCTTCTGGTCACAAGCTTTTGATATGGTGAACGGTTACTATTTACACCTCCAGCAGTATATCTTCTGCTCATTCGCTGCTAGATGTTCACAAGCTAGTCACTTACTTCTGTCTGTTGTTTCGTGCTTGACAGGTTTTGTACGGAGGCTTTATCACGGCTTTGAGCTGAGACTGAACCACAACAGTAAAGTTATAGGTGTACAGACAATGAGCTAAAAGATACAAAAAGAGAGTAGTAACTAGTAGAGCAGAGGAGAACACCACAGTTCTGTGATAATTACTCTCATACTACACATACTGGAGTAACATAGTTGTTATTCAATTCAATTCAATTCAATTTATTTTTGTATAGCCCAAAATCACAAATTAGCCTCAGAGGGCTTTACAATATGTACACATTTGACATCCTCTTGTCCCAGGACCCTCGCATCGGAACAGGAAAAACTCCCTCAAAAAACCCCTTTAATGGGGAGAAAAGAGGAAGAAACCTTAGGGAGAGCAATAGAGGAGGGATCCCTCTCCCAGGATGGACAGAAGTGCAATAGATGTCATGTGTAGAACAGGATAGTGAATTTCAACACATTCAATGTAATTACAGCACATTCAATGTATGACAGAACCACGGCAGGAGGCAAGACCTGGTCCAGGTATAACCCGGATACACAGGAACCTGTGAGGCGAGAAAGCACAGAGACTCTGGTGAAGAAGCAGGTCAATAATGTGCATTAATGGTATCGGTAATAGGGTTAATAATGGTCGTAGTAGGTGTGAGCAGGGCCATGGATGGTTGCAGGACCAGTGTCCAGATAAAACTGCGGTCATGGGAACCTGTGAGGCGAGTAATGTAACCAGCTTCAAATGTCGAGATCAGACTTCGGTCATAAGTCCTAAACTGTCCCTACACTACAAAACTGACGGTTGCTTATTTCATCCCGTGTTGTGAGATGCTTGACAAAATAACCTGAGAATATATCTTACGTACACAATTATTTTGGCTAGTTTGAGAACTTCTATGATGTTTTGTGACGTCGTTAAAATGGTGGAGCAATGGAACAGTCACGTTGCTGCTTAATAATTACCTGTACAAGTCTTGAAAGACACCAAGTTACATGACACCAGGTCCATCATGTAGTCTGTCTCCCGACCAAGTCACCTCAAAATACCAGATCATCACATTGATTCTGAAAAGAAGTAATGAGTAAAGTGAGGGATGTGTGCACTTATTTATGTATTGACTATTACCAGGCATGACTGTTATTCACTACTGAAGTATTCAGGGGGAGACAAAGGTAATACAACACTAAAACGTGGCGTTTGCTAATATTCATTTGGTCTACAATGTCTGTTTTCGTGGCCTCAATCATATTTGAAATAGTTTTTAATACCTTACTCAAACACTATATGTTCAGTGGGATGCAGCATTTCTGTTGAACCCTCTCTGCAGTAAGAAATGGAAGTTTGTTGAAGCCAGATAGCCCAGAGCTCGGCTGGTTGTCTCTGTGGACGGCCTTGTTCATTTCTAAATCTACTTTGCTCAAGTCTCTCTAATATGATGAATTATTCTGTTTAATTCACTCTTTGCTCAAAGTTGACAAGGCTTTGCAGAGTTTTCTCTTAATACAATCAAGTGGAATTGTGAAAAGAACCAACTGTTCTTCTTCGAGGTCCATGTTTCATTATTCTCACTCTGTGCTGCTTTGAAACTGAGCTTACTTAGCTGAGCAGCCTAAAATTCACTCATCCGTGTGATATATCTTTTGTCACTAAATTACATTTTTTCCCATTATTCCTTCCAGGTGAATCCAAGATGGAGCAGCCTGTCACACCCTTCAGCCCACCACCGTCCTCCTCCACTGTGACCGCCCAGCCGACTCCCAGGACTGACTTGTTTCCCCCCCCGCCCGCTGATCCCTCTCCGGCTGCTCCAGCCAGCCGTCCCCCGACTCCACCGCCTGAACAACCTGCACCTTCGCTCTCCAAAGAAGAGGAGGAGGAGGAGGAGGAGGAGGAGGAGGAGCCACAAGAAACCTCCGAACTGAAGCACAGGACTCCCGATAAAGACCTGCTGGAGATCGACCGTTTCACAATCTGTGGTAACCGCATTGATTGACCAGCGGCAGCCGCTGACGTAGCGACAGACGGAGAGCGAAGGGCTCTTCAAGACGGCTTTGTTCTGGCCGACAGCAGCAGGAAGCTGAGTATTTATTTAAGTCGGTGGCAACACAGTAAGTTATTGTGAACAGAGACGATGCTGCTGCTGTGGAGGAGGACTGGAGTCGAAGACTGTGGCAGCTCAGTCCTCAGGATGAACTGTCATGTTAGTGTGTGTGTGAGTGAGTGAGTGAGTGAGACACACACAGAGAGAGCGAGAGCGAGACAGCGAGAGCGTATTTAGAGTGAGTATGCAGGTGTGTGTGTGGGGCAGCATATGTGAGAGCACACAAGCACTTCCTGTCTGAGCATCGCTGGGACCAGAAAGAGAGAAACGTCTCAGTTCGCTCAGCAGCCAGTAGACAAACTTCCTCTTACATTGGTCTTTTTATTTCCTTTTACACCTGATTAAAAACCGTGAAATATCTGCTGTCATATCACTTTTTTATTTCCTTTTGCAGCACTAGCTTTCATAATCGGATATTGGGGTTACTTTTGGAACACGACTAAACGGCTTCTTCAATAATGGCCTTGAAGTCAGTGTTTCCCAACCTGAGGATCCTGACCTGCACAGGGTCCGAGATAAATTTGGTGGGTCACAAGGTGATCAACAAGTGAAGGAAGCAGAAAAAAGAGTTATGCTTCTTAAAATGATGTTTAGTCAGACTCGTCTTGTTACTTTCTGCATAATTTTAACTTTTCGGGTACTCGCATTAAACGGAAACACACCACTCGGGCTAACAAACAGAAAATGGTTTGTTTTAAAGGCCAATAAAGTTTGTGAAACGCAGCTCTAAGCAGTCACACAATGACAACACTAAGTGAAGCGTACTTCTCAACATCATCGTTTGAGTTACGGACGTGACTTTTAATTGGAGTCTTTGGTTTACACAGCCAACGGATAAAGTCATTTGCGGCGCCTTCAGCGGCTAAAGGACTGTTCATTAAAGGAAGCCGTCAGTGCACAACATTAACAGAAGCTGCCGACTTCCGACACTAAATCTGCTGCTTCTACCAGCCAGACGTGTTTCAGAGGTTCATTTAAAACTAGGAACGAAGAAAACGTGTCGTTGGTTAATAATTATTTTCTTCTTGCTTAGGGGACATCTTTCTAATCGCTTCATACACAATAACAAATCATAATCTGAAATCATAAAAAAAAAAAAAATCTATAAATGCAATCAGTCACTGATCAGATATATCTGCCGGCTTTCGTCTGTACGTAATTGAGTGCAAAATATAATATTCTTAACAATTCAATATCGGGACATAAAGTTCCAGCAGCCAAATATTTAATTGACACAATCGCACATCTGATACTGATGTACATTGAAAGGAGTCGTGATGTAAAGTGGAGCCTCATATTCTACTGAACCTGAACCACAACTGGACCCAGCTGGGTTCACGGAGACGAGTCCGTATTCTTCTTATGCAAGCTGGTCCAGCACACTGCCTGCTTTGTTTCTTCAGTTTGGTTCCTTATTTAATTGCTACCTCGATACTGTATGAAAATGCCCCCTTTTGTATTAATAAAAGTTTGTTTTTTACGAGTGTTGTTTTACTGGAACAATAAGCAGTACAATTATTAGAAGATATCTGTCTGTCCTCCTTGCTGCTCTCTCGTCTGTTTCTCTAGGATTTATTTTGAGCCTCAGACTTCCTGCTGTTTGAGCCGGCTTCCTGATTTGGAGTCACGATGAGAAACTTTCTACAGATGTGAAACTACGACTACGTGTCACTTAAGTGCAGCTCGTTTGATTCACTTCCCCAGATTCTGAGATTAGTTATTTATTTGTCTGGATCCTTGACATACAAGTTTCTTATGCACAAGTCTGTAAAGCTTGAAGAAAAATTACAAACTGAATTTTTACTTCTTATACAAAAAAATTGGAAGCTACTATATGGAAAACTACAAAATGTAATTTAGTCCAGGTGTTTACGCCTGTATTTTTATTGTTATATATAAAAAGTCTCGTCTGCTTAGACAGTTCGTCCTTTCTAGTGAACACAAACAATGTGATCTTTGCATGTGAAATGTTACTTTTTTCACATGTGATATGGTAAAAAGCTCAGTTAAAGACAGAGTTGGGATTGTTTTGTCAAACTAAATTAATCTAGATTTCCTCCTAATGGAAGCAAACCGAATACACTGACAATGTTAAAGCTTACAGGAGCTTTTTATTATTTATTTTTTTATATCCCTGCCCGTAAGTTGATGACCTCACTTCTGTTGAGGATGAGCGCCACCATATCCGCTGCTGGTTTAAGGTCAGGTAGAGTAAATCTGCAGACATTCTTAAGAGGGCTAATCTGTTTATAACTGCTGGAGACTGAGACGAGCTTCCTAACAGGACGACAGTAGTCGTAGCAGCAGTAGTAGTAGTAGTAGCAGTAGCAGTTGTAGTAGTAGCAGCAGTAGTAGTAGTAGTAGTAGCAGTAGCAGTAGCAGTTGTAGTAGTAGCAGCAGTAGTTGTAGTTGTAGCAGTAGCAGTTGTAGTAGTAGCAGCAGTAGTTGTAGTTGTAGCAGTTGTAGTTGTAGTTGTAGCAGTAGCAGTTGTAGTAGTAGCAGTTGTAGTAGTAGCAGTTGTAGTTGTAGTAGTAGCAGTTGTAGTAGTAGCAGCAGTAGTTGTAGTTGTAGTAGTAGCAGTAGCAGTTGTAGTAGTAGCAGTTGTAGTAGTAGCAGTAGCAGTTGTAGTTGTAGTAGTAGCAGCAGTAGTTGTAGTTGTAGTAGTAGCAGTTGTTGTAGTAGCAGTAGCAGTAGCAGTTGTAGTAGTAGCAGTCTGGAGAGGGTCCAGAACGTCACCCAGACGTTGAAGATGACATGATGGTTCATTCTGACACAGGGCTTAGACAGATCTCACTTCAAAAAGACAACAAATTGACGAGACTAAAAAAGAGGCGTGAAATAAACGGAGGAGAGTAAAGATATCAGCAGCATACACGGGACTAATTAAAAAGCAGGGAAAATAACTTAATCCCTGTGAGTATGGACGACTTTTTAAAGCCATATGAGGAGGGAGAACTGGCAAGTTTTTGATGTATTATTACACTTATTTATATCAGAGTTATTTAAGGAAATCCTGGTTACGCTCTATAACACAGCCCACGCTTTACAGCATAATTGTGTTGTATGAATTAGGTACTAGCTGCTTCCTACAGCTACATAAATGTAGGTACAGAGGAAGAAAACAAGACTATGGGGAACAAATAGCCATTTTAGAGGAAAGGAGAATCAATTTTTTACACTTTGTATTATCATTCTGTTGTAAATACTGGGTTCCTTTGGGGGTACAGTATTGGGGAAACAAAAGCATGTCATAACTGCACATAATTACTTGAAAAATATCAGTTTTGTTAACACAATTTTCCCCAAACTTCAGTTTTGTTTTCCACTACTGTACTAAAAAAATAGTATGATTTATTTCTCCTGTCTTCCAAAATGCCCAATTGTTGCTTTTTTGTCCCCACAACCATGTTTTAAAAACTTTATTGATACCCGATTTATACAACAAAATCACATTGTGAGTCGAAGGCTGATATATAACGTTTTAACAAAGTCCTCAACATACTACATTGTTTCCCCCTTCAGTGAATTGAGTGTCTGTCCAGCTAAACATCCCATCAGGTCTAAGGAGTGTGTGATCAGTGAAGAAAGGTGCTCCTCACCATCACTGATCAAAGGTCCACAAACAGGAGGCCCCATTGTCTCCAGGAGCCGGGGGCCCGATGTGCTCCGCGGAGAGAACAACGGTGTTATTGTGCAGAGAGACAAAAGCAGAGCCCACCTGATCGCTGCTCCACCAATCGCATCTCCCATCTGGGCTGCACCTCAGGTATCCTCTGTCTGCCCTCTGGGTGGGTCAAAGTCTTGAGGACAGAGTGCACCTGTTGCAGGAGAGACGGATGTTACAGCTGAGGGACGTGTTTCAGAAGGTGTAATACAGCGAAGCAGGAGAGGAACTGTATAGATTTATAAAGTAAATACAGCTGTGAGATAAATGTAGCAGAGTATACAGTACATTATTTCCCTCTGAGATGTAGTGAAGTACAAGTATTATATGGAGATACTCCATAAAGTAAAATAATTGGTGGAAAGTAACGAAGTACATTAACTCAAGAATCATATCGCCATTTTGTGCTACTTTATACTTCTACTCGACTACATTTCAGCTGGAAATAATGTACTTTTTATTCCATTTATATAACATCTGCAGTTACTTTGCAGATTTGTAAAACATGATCAGCTTATTAAATACTACACAATTTTATAGATTAAAATAACTAACAGTTAGCTCAAATTAAATAACCTTCACCTCGACCATGCTGCTCACATGCATCAGTGGTACTAATACATAATATTATATGATAGTATAACACTCTGAAAGGGGCGTTCTGTCTCCATAGGGAGTATTTATATATGGTAATACTTTCACGCTTACAGGGGTGAAATTATGACTGGAGGCCTTACATTTGTACACGGTGGTATTGCGACTGAAGTACTGGCTCTGAATACTTCTTTCATCATTATGTACATTGAACTTGTGCATCAGATATTGAGATACAACATTTCCCTGAGCTCCACCCTCCTCTCCCCGGCAGGAGGAGCGCTTCTCTCGGGACCAGTCCTCCCCGTATGGATGCGACGGAGGCGCGCGCGCGCACGCACGCACGCACCCACCCACCCGCCCGCTCCCGTGACGCAGCGCAGCTCAGCTCCGTGCGCACAGATGCTGGAGTGGGACATCGAAGACCGGAGACGGGCGGAGAAGATCAACCCGGTTTGCGTCCGTCTGGAAGCCTCAGACCGCGGGCAACGATGCTCAGACTGAGTCCCTCCGCGGGCAGCAGGACTTAAAAAAGCTGCGGTCCATCCACCGGGACACTTTCTACTCTCGAGACAAGAACCCAGGCACTCGTCCTCCAGCTCTTTGGCTCTCTCACCTCAGTTCTGACGGAGAGTCTGTAGGTTTCCTTTCAGCGCGATGTGGAAGACCGGCATCCTCCTGCTGCTGTGGGTGTTTTTGGCGTCCGGAGAACTCCAACAAGAGCCGGAGCTGCGGAGACTGCCACCCCCGGGAAAGTTGGATTTCGGTTATGTGCCTGCGGGAGTTTACGAGACTCTGGCCCATTACGAACCGGGACCGATAGGGATCCTGTTCCACATGGTGCACGCTTTCCTCTACGTGGTGCAACCCAACGCTTTCCCGCAAGGTAAGCGCCCTCATCCAGTCTCTCAGGGGCAGCAGAGAGACCAGATCCCCGGCGGATCCGGCAGAGACCGGCAGCAGCGTGACATTTGTAGGGGATGCGATTGTGAAATGTCACTTTTGGAAACATTTAATTGGCTAACTCGTATTTAACTGTTACTACAGACTATTATCTCTCGCGCATGTATCGGATTTACCACTCAGACCTGTATGAGAGCGGATCCCTAATGGGACTGATTGGTTATCCGCACACCAGACTCTGCGTGCAAATGTATTTTAATTAGTTATCGTGATTGATTGTGATTGACAGCGCCCGTTCTAACCGATGATATCCGGGTTGTCTCCTGTCTCGAAAAAGGTGTCAACTCGCGCATTTGTTGCATCACGCACATCCGTGCCACGCGCGCGTCTTGATTTGCGCGCAGAGCTGACAGCGCTCCGGAAGGTGGTGTTTCTGCCTGCGGCCGCACTTTATGTCACGATAATTACAATTAATGAACCCCTCGCTGACAGCATCACGTGCTCTGTGGACGTCTTTGCACACCATATTTTTGCTTGAGTGAGTGTCTGACCCCAAACACCCGGAGTGGTACCACACACACACACACACACACACACACACACACACACACACACACACACACACACACACACACACGAGGGATGCGTCTTCATGGGTCTAGGATGCTGAAGAGATGCGGCTCCTCTACATGAGTTACAGTCTGCGTCCATACTCCGTCTGAGCATTTTGCAGATTAGCAGCTCTCTGAGTCACCTTGTTAATTGGGTAATCCCATAAGCCACTGCTCCATATGTTGTTGGCCTTTTCGTTTCCAGTTTGTCACCAGCACTCGGGGGCTCGTGGCCTAATCCCACAGAGCGAAGTGAACTCATTCATGGGTGCAAAACCGCCACATGATGCACGAAGGAAAGGACGGAAATCATGTGGAAACTGTTGGTTTGAAGGCAGTGGTTCAGCAGACAAACGCTCTGGTTGTGTCATTGCTTTGATTAGAAAGCGTTATTATTTTGGGGTTAATAGCAGCAGTGAATGCGTGGATATTTAGCACAGTGCATCCAGAGATCTGTCAGGTCTGTCTGGATGAATACAGGTCTGCAGTAAACCCTGTGGGACTTGCAGAGCTTGTCATTTCCATAAGAACGCGTAACAGGAAGTCCCTCTGCACCGCGTCGTTGGTTGGGAAACATGCGTAACATCTGTAAATTGCGTTAAAATCTTTAAGACAAGTAAAGAAAAAGAATGGGCGAACAGTTTGCTCTCGAGTGGTTTGTGACTGGAGGTGGTGCGGATGTGGGTGTCTCTTCACTTCAGCCTGTGGTTAACTACAGTGTTAGCCTCTTCCAGCACACATTTAACTAATGAATCACTGAATCCTTGAGGGGAAAAAAGTGCAAAAATTGTTCTTAACAAGAGATGTTCATCTTATCGTCAGTCGTTCTGACAGTCAAAAAAAAAAAAAAAAGGATTCTTTACGAGTACAGAGATAAAAACGCTCAAATCTCACTGTGAACAGATCCGTTTGACATTATTGTGATATTATGGCGACAACTTATTGTCATTATCAATTATTATCATTATTGTTGAGTCTATAAAATGTCAGAAAATAGTGAAGAATACAAAACATCACAGAGCACCAGAGCGACATCTCCAGCTGGATCGATCAACCAACAGACAGTTATCTCACATAACATTAACATAATCCACAGATATTAAATTTAAAAAAGCAAACGCATCAATTATCTGAACAATTATCTACATTGTTGTTGATTTCCTAAAGCTCCAAACTTTACATTTCAAAAACTCAACTGCACCGTCTCCTTACGAATATAGTTTTTAGACAAAATACCAACTCAAAATCCTCCAGAGATTGCACGTCAACAGATCTATGATATTAGAGCAAACCCAAAGTTCTGATAAAGACCATGTAATATGGTAGAAAACATAAAAACAAACCAACAAGTAAGGTTTAGGAGGTTTAAGCACCACAGACATGGAGCTCAGTGTTCAGTATTAACCGCCTACAACATCTCCACACCTCAACACTACCTGGACGGATGAGACTCGCGGTAAAAGGAACATATTCTGACAAAGTCAGGAACCAACGAGCTGTCAATCTCGGCCTGACATATTGTTGTAACCGTCTCTGTCGGTGTGTAATTAGCGACACCCCATCACCACATCCTCCACAGTCGCTGCGTGACATCTCACATTGTGAAACGTCTTTATAATCTCGTGAATGTTTGATGCAGTCGACCGACGCGTTCATTCTCTGCATCAAGCCGGCTCCGAGCTCGTGGGAGGCGTTATTAGAGAGGCATCGAACGTCTTCAACCGACGCCCACGCCGAGCAAATGAACAGTGACGTGTTCGCTTTTACCGATTTCAACGGCTTTTGGCTGCAGTGTGGATAACACCTACCCACAATCCCTCACTCCCTCCCTCCTACACAAACTCTCACCAACACACAACTGCTAATTGCCAATACTGATGTACAGGATCATTAGCGCTTTGCAGAAATCAAATACAAAACATTGCAGGCTTCAACAAGCTGAATAAGTGCTGTTATTTGTTTTTTCATCTAGACTTTGGTGTCTGTTACCTGAATCTTCATTACAGCTTTATTCAAACATGACCGGACATTTAGGGATCGAGCCACGATGCCCGAGAGACAGTCGACACCTTTTAATGCGAGAGGAAGCAGTGAGACGGCTTAATAATAAGAAGGAACAGGAGTGTTTTCTGTTCTCTCTCTCTGAATCACTGACGGATAAAAAAAGAAAAATCGATTTTGCTGTTAAAGCCTTAATAAATACGCATCGTTATTATCTTCTAGTAAATCTCTTAGGTAGAGAATTCTGCAACATAAATTATAATGTCCGAGAACAGAATGGAAAGATGTTTAGCTGGGAACCTCTTTAAATTCCTATTTGCCGATTATTTATTAATTCACCCATGCAGTGGGTGTGGATGAAAGTTGAAAATACAAGGAGGGAGACAGCTGATTGCTGTAACTTTGGTTGTATCTGGTGATCCTGTTTATCCTCGTCGCACCACGAGGGAGAACATAATGACCAAAGACTAAAACATGACTTCAGGTGGACACACATCAGTCACCTTTAGCTACGAGGAATTTAAAGTCCTCATCCACGACTCTCCCCAAACTAACAAATAAAAACACTAAACTTTACTTTTACTTTTCCAAGTCTCTGAATTAATCAGCCATCACTTACAGAGGTGCTTTAATTAAGCTCCTTCTGCACTTTGAATAGTATCATTTCACGCCGGTGGGGGAGTGCGGCTTGGGAGCTGCTGCCAGCCACCGTCATGCAGCAGATCCCTGTTGGAAGCATTTTCTCATTAGCGACTGTATTCCCTCTGCTCGAGGAGACACCACACCTACAGACGGCAGAGGCTGAAAGTCTGGCACTAATTCAAGACGGCAGCCGTCGTGGTGCGCTTTGGTTCACTATAAATAAGCCTCGCTGCACCAGTGAGGTGAAACAATCTCAGGCCATGATTGTTATTTAACGCTCATCAAAAGGGAGTCCAGGTGCATTATGGGGCTTTGGCGGTGTTCATTGAAGGACACATGAACATGAAAGGAAGTGAAGAGGAAGCCTTCAACAGATTTTTGAACCAAGGACAAAGCAGAGATCGAAGCTCTTCGTGATGTGCATCAAAGATTCACTGGAATTACAAAGTAGAAGACGTTGTTTTGGTTTGATGTCTTTCATGTTCAAAGGGAGAAATATGTGAATAAGAGTGAAGCTTCTGTCTATTCAGATTTAATTCAGATTCAAACCTGAATCCTCAAATGTTTTCTGCTGCTGAATTAAAGTTCCCTCCCTTCCTAGATAGTAAACATTGAACATTTCGCAATCCGATGTTGCTAAATCACACAAAATCGTTAAGGTTGACTAAAAATATGTACTGTTTAACTACTAAATGGGTATTTCACAGAATGAATAGTGGACCGCCACAAAGTTGTGAGGTTTGAAGGGACATGTGATGCCTCTGACATTTAGAGGCATCACGCGTCTTTATTTAGGGACGTTAAAAAAAATGTTTCCGGGTAATAAATACATATTAATCAGACCGATCACAGAGTGTGAACATTGTTTGAGAGCAACGCAACAGTTTGTAGTTTGAAAAGTTGTCTATTGCAACTTAACGTGGCCTCCAAGTAAACCCCAGAATGGATCAATTAACCAAAGACTCAGGTTTATTAAAGAATCCAAAACAATAACACTAATTGTTGTTTACACAATTGTCGTTTACACAATTGTCGTACAGTGTACTTTCTCCAAATTACAACTTTATATCATAATTTTACTCATAATCTTTTGCAAAAAGCATATTAACATCATTATAACCCATTACACTGAACAAGAACCAAATTACGAGCGTGGCGAATCACTGTCAGTGGATTAGTCTGCACACGGCGCCTTTTGGCACTTTACAGCCGAAGCAGAAATATCAAGAACCGCCGAGTGATGGTGAAGACAAACGGAAACAAACAGTGATTTTAGCAGCATTGTACACTCGGCAACATGTTTATTTGGGAGCCAAATAAGAGTTCTTTCACGATGAGGGGAAGGTTGTCAGGATTTCACTTCACTTTAGAGGTGAACGCAGCTCCCTTTGACTGCACCAGACAGCCAGAATAAAACAACCTGGTGATGGATAATGAATCGGGAGAGACCAGGCGGGTCAGTCGTAGCGCGTGTGGATGATGGTTGATGCTGCGGGCGCCGTTCCTCTACTCTACGGCGGTAAAGTGATTAAAGAGAGCGTCCTTCAACCGGAAGGTCGGCGCTCGAGCGCCACGACAGCAAGCATCTGCTCTGCCGAAGTGTCCTTGAGCAACGCGCTGAGCGCCGCCGTGCTGCTGACCGTGCGCTTTTAACATCTCAGTGGAGGACGGGGAAATCTTTTAACGGTGGGAGTGTTGATAGTGTCGGAAGAGGGAAACGCAGTCATGA